CTTGTTTTTGGTAGACAATGACGTTTGCCAAATAATTTGAATTATGATATTGAACCACTTTATAATCCTGATAATTATTGTTTGGATTTAAAATATAAATTGCAGGTAGCCTTAAGAGATGCTAGAAATAATTTGATAACTTGTAAGGAAAAAAGGAAAGATAAATATGATGAATCATGTTATCCTATATTTTATAAAAAGAATGATCTTGTTTTACTTAAAAATGAATGTGCTCGTAAATTAGATTGTGTTTTTGATGGACCTTATAAAGTTGTAGAAGATTTAGGAGTAAATGTGAAAATTGATATAAATGGTAAAATTGACATTGTTCATAAGAATAGGACTAAGCAATTTAGTAGTTAAGAATATTCTTTTTTTTTCTCTTTTTTTTCTTTGCCCCCAAAGGTGAAGTAACCTATGTACTTGTTGGTGATATTCGATGTTTTATAAAGTAAGCAGTATTAAATAAACACTCGAGTTGAACAAACGTGTTGATCTTTCATTCCATTATAAATAACATAATTCATCTGGTTTATTGCGTAGGTTCTTTAACGCTATAAATTCGTCTTTGGGAAGATTCGGTTTAGGTACTGAACATCGACGTAACATAGATGAAATGTCTTGACGTATCGCCTGCAAATCTTCTTTTCGCATATTGTTTTTAATTAAACAGTCCCCGACACTACAGATAATTTCTTCGTACGGTAATCTACGTGGTGTTATAGCAAAATTGAGGCTATTGGATAATAGAACGCGATTAATCTATGATCTGTGTTTGTCAATGGTTGCTTTTGGTTCTGGCATTGATTAGGATGTTTGACATTTGATTTGGTCGTTAATATTTGATATTTTTCTATAAGTATGTTTGTTTTTGCATTCGTTATATTTACTAATTTCGCGTTTATTTAATCTTTCTATGCTAAAATTATAATCAAACGTCGTTAAAACTTTCTTTAATTCAAATTAAATTAATTTGAATTTTAATTAAATCCCAACCCAAGCATACAACTGCAAGACTTCAAGATACCATAAGTTCATACTGTGTAGATCGGAACAAAAATTAAATTTTAATCTATGGTAACCGCGGTTAACTATGACATCTGGACGTTGAACATCTCAGTCCCCCCCTCCCTGTGACATGGGTGCTGTAAAACCCTCGAAACGTCGGGTATTTAAAAAGTTAAATATACGCGATAAAATCCGTAAAAACTAGTATTATTTCAAGAATATATCATGTACTATTATAATGTAAGATAATTGTCTACAGTAACTGTTATATTTTTTGTAAAACGTGTAATAGGAAATAAATGCGATAATTTTTTTATTCCCAATTTTGTGCTTCAATTTCATTCTTTATTTTTAATTTAAACAATTTAGCTTTAACAAAATTAAATTTCGAGTTTTTTGAACTTTTCGTTATTTGAATGTAAATGTAGTAGTTGTTCAGTGTAATCGTTTTTGTGGAGTGTTGCCCGGTCGTAAAAAAGTGACATTTTATACGCGAACAGGTGGGGCGAGAATCACTTGTGCGGCTTGGACGCTTGAGTGGGTATCATCCTTGGTGAGAATCAGTGTTTTTTTTTTTAGAGGATTTGTGGTTTATCAAATCTGATGCAACGGTAAGGACAATCTTAAACATTTTCGCAGGCTGCAGAGTTCTCGGAGCTTCGGTGTTTCACGTAAGCTTTATGTTCTTTCACGCAAGTTTTAATAGATTGTTTTGTTTTTCCTATGTAAAAGAGACCACAATCACAATCTAGCTCTTACACTGCTGCATCTTATAGAGGAATATTACACTTGATGGATGATAAAAATTGACTAATCCTCTTCGGCAGCTTATAGTATGATTTAAAGGAAGCTTGTTTCAAGATATACCCAACCCTTACTCTGACTCCTCTGACATATGGTAGTACAGTAGGCACATGCTTGACTTTGGCCTGTTTCACTCGGTAAAAAGAACCATATTAACAGATATATATTTTTTATGGGAGAGGAGGCAGACGAACATATGGCTCACCTGATGGTAATTGATTACCACCGCCAATGAACAACTGCAACACCAGGGGAACTGCAGATGTGTTTCTGGCCTCTAAGATAGGAGTAAGCTCTTCCCTTGAAGATCCTTAAGTCGTATCACTCCGGAAAATCTTTGATGGTAGTCGATTCTATCTTCCGTTCTGATGACGAATGTGATTACACACATTTTTCTTTGTAAAAATAAATTTATAAAATATTCATTTGCAATATGAAATTACTACGAGTACCAAGTGCTTATAAACAATAAAGTGCTATGCAAGTGTTGAAGCAGTAATGTAGTATTAATTGTAGCCTTTTGAATGAATGAGATAGAATATCAGAGTAATATCACTTTTTGTGCAACATAACGTCGAAATATCATCACATAAACTTTGAACCTAAGAAAATTCTTGCTAATAATGAGCCGAATAACAAGAAGCCCTCTATTAAGAGGGATAATACCACACACGGAATCGGACCTTTCCTCGATTGGGCATGCCCAGGGGCGCAAGAAATACCCAGCGAACTAAAAGATTAAGAGAGACCTGTTGAGAAAATTTATGTTCGAAAGAAGAAAGAAGTTTTAATGTAAAGAATAAGTGAAATCTATGATCAAAGAAGTAAGTTAAAGCCAAAATCATATTCTCAATAATCTTATTAAAGATGTAGCCGAAATTAAAGTTTAGAATTCCAAAATTCAACAGTATAATCAGGAGATCTAAAGGCTCTACTGTTGCTATCTGATCAGTTTGACGGGTTGTTGGTAAGAGTGGAAACTCTAGAACGAGAACGCAAAGAACCGATATTGTATATCTCTTCACTTGAAGCAAAAGTCGAGTACGTGCAAAGATTTCTGAAATCTACTACTGTAGAAATTAGGAACGTACCATGTTCTACTAAAAATGATAACAAGTTGGAACTTACTAATAAAGTAAAAAATACTTGTTAAGTCCTTGCTGTTGATTTACAAACGAGTTATGTTAAAAACGTTTTCCGCACTAAGGGAAAATATGGAACATCTACCTTTGTAGTGAAATTCTTGCGAACAAATACCAAATAGGAAATAATTAAAAATGCTAAGCTCTATCACAAAATACACCCAAATTAAAGGAATAACTCAACTCTTATAAATTTAGGTGAACCATCTGTACCTTTATATGTACAGACTCCTGTACCTGGCGATTTTAGTTCAACTGCTAAATTCAAATATTGTTGAACCAGCAACGGGAATTTTTTTCTTCATAAAACCGACAAATATCCGCACATTAAAATAAAGTGTAAAATTTATCTGATAAAACTTAAAAACACGGAATGTTTTTAAGTTTTATCAGATATGTCTATTAATAATATTACGTTGCTACACATACTTTCAATTTTGTTATATTTTATCTTTACTTATATTTATTTTACATACTTACATGCTTCTTAGTTTCATTCGTACTTAATCAGAAAATTTTTAATAACATATTCATAGTAATCTTTGTAAACGCAGCTAATTAATCGTCTAAAAATAACTTTAATACTAGAAAGCCTGATAAGGTCACAGATTACGACACATCTTCTCGTCAGGTATACCTCAATCTCTGAAAACTAGATTGTACAACCAGTGGGTGTTACCAGTGATGACTTAAGGATTTGAGACGTGGTCCTTCACTGCTGGCCGTATGAGGACGCTCAAGGTCGCTCAGCGAGCTATGGAGGGGGCTCGGATGCTCGGAGTTTCTCTGCGTGGTAGATTCAGAAATGAGGATATCCGCAGTAAAACCAGAGTGACCGACATAGCCCAACGGATTAGTAAGCCACTTCATGGCAATGGGCCGGCCATATAGCTCGAAGAACCGATAACCGATGGGGAAGAAAGGTTCTCGAGTGGCAGCCTCGTACCGGTAGGCGTGGTGTAGGGCGACCCCCGACTAGAGGAGTGATGACCTGGTAAGATATGCAGGAAGTAGATGGATGCAGGTGGCTCAGGACCGTGATTTGTGGCATTACTTGGGGGAGGCCTGTGTTCAGCAGTGGACTTGTGAAGGACTGTAATGATGATGATGACGAAATAGAAAACGACATGGATAATATTATAGTCGGAAAATCTTATTTATGCGACCCAGAGTCTTGCAAACCAATATAACCAAGTCAAGAAGTAAATCTACCTCTAGTTACCAAACCTTTAAAGTATTGACTCAAAATATTAGGAGTATAAATTGCAACTTGAATGAATTAGAAGTTTTACTTGCCAGGATTAATTTAAATTGTGAAATATATATATATATATATATATATATATCTTGACTGAATCTTGGAATACAATTACTTCTTATTTTCCAACGATCCTAAACTACGACTAGTTTTATCCTAAAAATAATATAAACCAAAATGATCGATTAGTTGTATTTATTAAAGATGGATTTACATGTACTGTTGAGGAACCAAGCTTCGATAGTGCTATTTGTCTAATAATAAAAATAAATGTTGATACACTCATAACTGCCCTATATAGATCTTCGTCTTATAGAAATATTGCTCCATTTATCGACTCGTTGGATGAACTCTTGTCCTTATACAAGTCTTATAAAAATGCTATTATAATGGCGGATATAAATTTAGACATAAAGCCTAACAATGAGGATCAAAATTCTCATGTTGTAGTTTAAATAATAACTAACTTGCGAACCATGGATTCCTCATTGGGCTCAATTACCTAAATAGAGGAGTAAACTATCTGGACCATTCTATTGTCAATACTAAAAGATCAGTGACTGGGTTTGTTTTGAACACACCACTAACCGATCACACAACAGTCCTCTCATGTTTTGGATTTAACATCTAAATACTCCCAAAAAAGGGATTTTGTAATGAATAAAGTCTATTAGGTAGTGATTCTTAAAGATTTGGATGCAATCAATTCCGAAGAAATTTTGTATGTCTATGTGAGCAAACAGGGCTGCTGAGATACTCGTATATATTCTCTTAAATTACCTAGCTAGCTATTCAGCTATAATTTTAGTACCACATAGATTTCGATGTCTTAAGCCCTGTATTACACCAGGGTTCCTACGTTGAATCGGGGTTGAGACAGGATGCACTCTAAAAGTAAAGCAGAGTCCAAAAATGAAATTATGCAAACAATTCATAAAAGATACAAAAACTATTCCACAGAGATGTCGTACGCGGAAGAAAACTTCTTGTGAAACGTACAGTGGTGGACCGCCAAGCATCCAGATGGTGGGGATGGTATCGGGACGTTTGCCGCATAGTGCGTTCTCGAAATTTGGCGGCTGGGATTAATCATCACTCCCCATGGTATATGCGGAAGAAAATGCAAAGAGATGCAACATCTCTTCGCAGCGCCAGTGAATCGAGCCGATCGGATAGCACTCGTTCGTCGACGATTCGAGCCGCTCTGCACTGGCTGCGGTCAAGTGGAAGGAGCTGGTACTGGGGAGCCCCAGCCCAGAGATGGGAATAGTATTCCATGTGCGGCCGAACCTGTGCCTTGTAAAGTTGTAAGCGGTGTGCCGGCATGAAATACTGTCCCACTCTGCTAAGCACACCAAGCTTTTTAGAGGCTTATTTGGCCTTCTCTTCCAAGTGACTACGAAACTGCACGTCACTCAAGGATTCCGATACTGGCTAAGGCAACAAGAGGAGTGCCTTGAAACTGAGGAGATACGAAAATTACGATACGACTTTTTAGCGGTTAACGCGCAAACTGTGTTTTCTGAGGGTTAAACTGGACTATATTTAGTCGCTCCCAATCCGAGACTCTGTTCAGCAAATACTTGACTTCAGACACAAGTGTTTTCCGGTACTCGGAGACGTTTTCCCGAGAAGTATTTGCACGGCTGGTGTATATTTTACAGGAGTGACCAAACTATGGCTGAGATTTACCCCCAATGAGCACCACAGAGAAAGGAATAAAAAGTTCCATACCCTGAAGAACCACATCAGCAACAGAATCCGTTACAACGTTGGGATTGTCCGGCGAGAAGCAAATCCGCCCCCAAGGGTAGGATGCAAAGAAAGACCTCATCCCATCCCAATCGGCTAACCTATAGCGCCAAACACGGCGGCAGCCTGCAGAATTCAACTGCGATTTCAGCGTGAGTTGCACCTCACTCCGGACCAGACAATTGTCCGAGGAGCCTAAAGATGCGTCGACGGAAATCTGATCATTGTGTAATGATTGTTTTTAATTGTTAATATCCATACTTTCAGTTCGTTTGTAATTAATTTATTATTAGATATATATCGATATTACTGACTTCAGATTTATTTTCCATTAAAAGACATAAATTCATTTAGGTCTTAAAAACATTTTTCTTTTAACCATTGTATCAACTTTTTTAAACATGGTTAACACTAGAGTGCACGCGCGGACTACATATGTAACCCAGCGTGTAATATTGTCGTATATCATTTTAACTTGCCGCACTATAGCGCAATCGTCTAGGTGTATAACTCAAGTATCCCCCGCTACCGCCAGCCGCGTGCCGACTCCCGTAACTCAAGGATGTCCGCAAAAATCGTCCTTGAAGTTGGTGGGCTACGCCTGTAGCCCGCGCGAGCGTTGGAGGAAAATAAGTGTTTAGTGTGCAAGTGGTGAAATTGAGATAAATATGACACATTTCTTGCAGTATTACTACAAAATGTACAGTTAATTAATTTTTAAGTGTTTGTTGTTGGTATTTGTAGATTTTTCATGTAGCTTTATACTGTTTTGTTCACTTTTTAGGTGACGAGTAACTCGATCAGATTGTGCGACTAAATACAAATATGGCTGCTGGAGGATAATGAATACTAATGAACATTTGGAGCGGGTATTGTTATTGTCTACCCTCTACAATGAAGACAAAATTGATGCTGCGACTGGCGATGCTAGAAAACCGCGTTGATATTTTTGATAAAGTGTGTAGACAATATGACGTTTCTCGCAACAGTAACCGATGGCCTCTCACGATATGATACAATTTTTTAAACATGGCGGGCATAAATAGTTTGGTGATATATCAGATGAACAACCACCAAATGGAATTGATCCGTCGTCAATACCTCCTAGATGTTGAATTTGATCTTGCACGACCTTCTATTGAGCGTCGTATATCCCAACAAAATACACCCAGAGGTATTAAACTGAAAGGCAGACTACTTCTAAGATTGGCAGAACAACCTCTACAACAAAATATGTCTTTAGATCGATGTGCTTTTTACAGCAGGGCTCGTGTCCGTAGCACGCGCTAACAATGCAGCAAATGTATGAGGCGTATTTGTGACGAACATTCAGACAGTTGTGCGTCCTGAATGTAAGCCAATAGACTGATTTTTTACCCGTTACTTTGATTATAGACTCAATTAGGCCAAATAAATGCCTTAATTGATAAATATTATGTTCTTAAATGAAAATAAGACTTGGAGATATCAACCCTTCCAAATATTTGTTGATTTCTAAGAGGTTTACGTTTAAGTTTCAAATTATATTAAGGAATCAAATTTTTTTGATTTTATAAACCAATTTGATAAAAATAAAGATGTTTAGTAACTATATGCTGTGTTTTACTCATTGTTTTGTCTTATTCAGAGAAATAATTGATCCGCAACTGGTCTACACATGTAGCCCGCGCGTGCGCTCAAGGAGTATTTAAGGGCGCGTGCACTCTAGTGTTAAAGGTAACTCTTTAAAGTCGTTCGGTATTTTGTTATACACATTTATAGCATTTACGTAAGATATCCTTTCATACAATTTGAGCCTGCGTTGAGGTAAGTATAATTTATGTTTATTTTTAGGAGCTACATTTCGTTCAGTTACTTCTATATGCCTTTCAAAGTGTTCAGGATGTTGTTTTATAAATATGCATATTTCTATAATGTACAAGCATGTTAATGTCAAGATATTGTACTTTTAAACAAGGGCTTACAGCTATCCGTATACCCTGCTCCATAGATTGCATGCTCACATTTTTTGTACTCTAAATTCTTTTATTATATTTACTGAATTGCCCCACAATAAAAGACCATATGATAGTACTGACGAAACATATCCGTGATATGCACATAGAGCAGCATCATTTGATACCGTAACTTGTAATCTTTTTATTGCGTAGACAAATCTGTCAAGTTTGTCACAAACGTAATCAACATGTGTTTCCCAGTCGCAATTTTGATCCAACATTATACCCAGAAATTTAGTACTTGCTACTTGTTCGAAGATCTTATATATATTTTACATTATATATTTAACATTAATATTCAATAGTTTTCTTTGATATGTCTGAAATTGGATCATTTTAGTGTTTTCCGTATTAATCTGTAAATTATTGAAATAAAGCCAGTCTATTATGTTTTTGATTGCTTTATTTATCTCCATTTCATATGTATCTGCATTTTACATTTCACGATAAGGGTCATCAGCAAACAAGATTGTGTTATGGCGAGTGATATTAGGGAGATCATTAATATACATGAGGAATAAGAATGGTCCCAATATACTGCCTTGCGGCACGCCAAAGTCATTTATCTGATTGTCGCTTCTGTATAACACTTTTTTTGTCTTTATTGACTTTAGATATTTTCACACATTGTTGTCTCTTACATAAATAGTTTCTCAACCAGTCGTTAGCTTTATCTCTGATCCCATATTTTTCTAATTTGTGTAAGAGCAATTTATGGTCCATGTATGGAACACGAATGCCTTGCTCATGTCCAGGAAGATTGCCGCAACTGAAAGGCCATCATTTATAGCCTGGGTGACTATTTAAATTAAATTAAAACATGCTAACGAGGTTGTACTATTCTGTTTAAATCCATATTACTCCTCCTTAAGTAAACGATGACTTGTCGTAAATTCTTGAAGCCTTCTCAGCATAATCTTCTCAAATATTTTTGATAATATGGGTATCCGCGTCACTGGCCTATAATTAATTCATTTCCTATTTTTCGCCTTTCTTAAAAAGTGGCTTAACGACTTTTTTTTCAACATATTGTTCATATAAATAAACAGAAGACTATACCTAAAGACCTACTGCGTATTTGTGACACACTTCACAATCCCGTTGAGTATATCAACAACTTTTTCGCTAATATTGAAAAAAAAAACAAGTTAGTCAATGAATGTACAGATGATTAAAGAACCGTATCTAACTTGAATGCACCCTCTCGTGCAAATTCCATGACCATTCTTAAAGAAATTAAAGGCTTAAAAATGATAGCGATACTAGTTGGGATGGTATATCCAATAAACTTTTAAAATTTGTAATAATCATATACTACCCGTCTTAACACTAATTGTTAATCTATATTTAACTACAGGTGTATTTCCACAAATATTTAAAATATGGAATATCTATCCCATTCATAAATCTGAACCTAGAGACTGCATCAACAATAACCGCCCAATCTCAGTATTGCCAGCCCTGTCAAAAGTTATAGAAAAGGTGATAAATAAAAGATTGATGTATTTTTTGGAAAAGAGTGCTTTTCTATTAAACTATCAATATGTTGAATAAAACTGACTGAGATATCAGTCCCCCCCGTGACCATGGTTGCTGTAAAGCACCCGAAACGTCGGGAATTAAAGATAAGTAAAAGTAGTGAAATAAACGCGATAAAATCCGTAAATTTAGTTTTATTCAATGTGTAGTGTTCGCGTAAATTTAAGAAATCATTAACTATCAATATGGTTTTAGATCTGACAAGTGTACTTCTGATGCAGTTACAGTGTTAACAGATTATCTTTCTCGGCAAATTGACAAGAAAAACAAATGTATAGGTGTATTCTTAGTTCTTGCGAAGGCATTCATTACGGTCTCTGCAACCCATACTTTTAGATTAAATGCGTAAAATTGGTATAAGCCGGCAACCATTATGTCTGTTTGAAAGTTATATTTTTCACTGAAAGCAAAGGTATCGCATCGGTAAGCAATAGGAAAGGTAGGTAAGGGTTGGTGATCTGACTAGTCTAGATTCTCCCATCACTTATGGCATGCCACAAGGCAGCGTGCTTGGCTGTAGTTTCTTCCTAATATATATAAATGAATTATGTATACTTAATTTGAATAATTCTAAGATCTCTATTTTTGCTGATGACACAGTGCTAGTTTTTCATGGTAACTTGGGAAGAAACTAGAATCAAGGCTGAAATGGGATTGCAACAGGCAACACAATGGCTTCAGATAAACATACTGACACTTAAGTCATCGAAAACTAAGTTCATTACTTTTGGTATATCACAAAATAACATTCCTAGTATTATTTTGAAGGACCTGGAGACGGAATTATACTTCTTTTTAAGAGAGCTGGTATTTTCATCCCGAGACGTCGATGCTTGAGCCTAGGCCTGGTAGCACTCCTGCTTATGGCGTAATGTAATTTTGCAGGAGCGACCAAACCATGGCTGGGTTCTGCCTACGATAGGTACCACAGATGATGGAATAAAAAGTACCATTCCCTGTAGCACCACAACCGATAGAATCAGCAACAACGCTGGCATTAACTGACGAGAAGCAAATTCGCCTCCAAGGGTAGGAATGCAAAAAAGATCGTACCCCGCATGCCAGATACGGCGGCAACCTGCAGAACGCAACAGCAATTAGAGCGTGAGTGGCTCCGTACTCCGGATCAGACGATGCTCCGGGAAGCCAAGAGCGGCGTCGACCGAGACCTGATATCTGTGAACCTCACTGTCATCCATCACAGTTAGCTTCTTGGTTAAATATTCGTTTCAGATATGTCTCATAATGACGTCATGTATGTCAGAGGAGTCACAGATAAGGTTGGCTCCATTTTGAAGCGAGCTTCCATTAAAACATAGTACAAGCCACCGAAGAAGATTAGTCAAATTTTACCATTCATCAAGTGTAATATTCCCTTACAAGATGCAGGAGTGTACGTGCAATATTGTAAATGTGACAAACAAATATATCCATAAAAACCAACGCCAAAGAAGCACCGACGCCCCGGGATGTCTGTAGTCTGTGAACAAGTTCAAGATCGTCTCCACTATTACACCAGATTTGATAAACCGCAAATTATCTCAATAGAACACTGATTCCTACCAAGGATAATATGCTAGGCTATAGAAATTAAAAAAAAATCTAATTTCAATAGAGAAGATAAACGGGTACTGCCATCTTCTTGGGATCCTATAGTTTACAGAATTAAATAACACCACTGCAAGACATCAAGTTACTGTAAGCTCGTCCTGTGTAGATCGGATCAAAAATTAATATTAAAAAGTCAAATAACTCAGTAACCCGTGACCATGGGTGCTGCAAAGCACCCGAAACGTCGGTAATTGAAAATAATTTAAGTAAACGCGATAAAATTCGTATAAACACCAAGTGTCATTTAAACTTAAATATGTAAAAATGTGGCCAATTGTAGTTTGTTTGTTAGCCTCGGCGATAAAAAAGGTTAACATCTGCACGGGAGCCAAGTTATAGATATAGTCAATAATAATAATACCAAGGTACAGGTTCTAAGAACGTTATGCATTGCTTTAGCTCTTATTTAAGGAATTTAATGTTATATTTTACAAAGATGTTACCATCAAAGTATTTTGTACTTATGTACGTTTATGATTTATCAATGGATTTTCCTGAACGTTCCTTTGGTCAGAAAAAAATGCCGTCACTCTCAAGTTGTACCTTAAAAAGTTTTAATACAAACAAATGGTTAATAAAAATATTAAGCGTAGTAAGAAAATGAACTAATTACATTTTACATTTTATTTATATTATAAAGATTTACCGGAAAAAAAACATACCGCAAAAAATTGGACGGCTGTACTGCAAATAATACAAGAACTTAAAATCATCGTCATTGAAATATGTCTTCCAAATATATCTTGTATAGATTTCACAAACCTAAAATTGAAAAAAAAAATAATTTTAATTAAAAAATATATATACAGAAAGTAACGATTTTAATAGTAAATTGTAAAAAGTTTTAGGGATAAAATATAAATTGTTGCATACCGACCTTATAATAAGATTGTGATGCCTAACGTAGTTTTTAAAAAACCGTTCAAAGGCTTCATTTCTATCACAATTATAAACATCCATTTCATATTTTATATAACGCTCCGCATTTTCAATTGTATGTATTAAATTCTCTATCTGACTTGCTGAAATGTAGACATATATATTTATTTAAATTAATTCTAAACGTATACGAAACATCCAGCTTCCACTTTAAGAAGTAAACTGCCAGGCTACTTCGGTCGTCGGAACTGTTTTCTGTGAATTAAAAATCATTTAAATTAAACGCGATAAAATCTGTTAAACTGGTTACACCATTATAAATAATATAAAATCTGAGTATAGTACGCGAGAAACTCCGCACTCGAGCACAACTATTGAACACGTCTGTACCAACATATTAGTTTCTATGAATACAATTGACTCACCAATATCAAATCACAAAAAAAATATCGAATTATGGAATCATAAAATACTATCTAGATAGAAGGTACAATATCGATATCTAGATTATGAAGTTTTATAATAGTATACAGGAAAATATGTCACAACTATAATAAATATCTCGTACATGAAAGTTTTATTAAAAACGAAATATATAAAAATAAAACTATAAAACATAAAATTCCCAATCCCCCCACTGCAGGATTAGATTTACAAGGATATAATTAACAGCATCAGTAGACGTCAGAATAGAGTGTCATAAAATACATTCGTTTTGAACGGCTATATAATAGAATACAACCACAATTAAAAACCCTCTTAGTGAAGTTGTAAAAGATACAACTTCCTTTTGTATGTAGAATGGACCCATCACAAATTGTGACGTAACTTGAAGAAATGCATGTCGATGTTTTTATAATCTATAGATTAAAATAGTAATATTAGTTTTACCGCATGTAAAGGGAAAACCTAGAAATTAAAAATTAAAATCACAGATACCTAAGAGCAAACTAAAAGCGATTGTCTTGTAGTTTTCGCCGGTGTTATAATAGACTGATTAGTAATTAATAGTATAAAATAAAGTTATAGGTACATATAGTATTTATTGGTAGTTTAAAATTGATGGAAAATCCTTTTCGTGTTTCCGGAAAATTATGGTGCACAGACAACAGACATACAAACATGGTGTGGAAACTATTTTTGAAATGTATTGTTGATCAGTGAATATGGATTCCAAATAACATCACCATAATTTAAGAAACAATATGTGTGGTTAAAGCCAAGATGAATTTAAAAATATTATGCTCATTTATAATATTACCTCTACACGCTATATAGTAAGAATGATGTTTTAAACTGGTTGTCCAATGATACACAAAGTAACAGGATACACAAAGTTGTCTCTTAAAAGTTAGACAGACTGATAGACAGGTACGGTGGAAAGGAATGTTAATATCTACACTTTTCTAAAAAAGCTAAGAAATCTGTCAACTATTTCACCTCGTTCCTAAATGGTACCACCCTCGTGGCAAAAAATGTCGTGTTCGTCATTATAAAAATTACTTATATTTCTAATAATATCAATATTATTTATATGATACTGGCGTCGCGTACAATATCGATCTTATGTATCTATATCGTGTTCTTATTTTTAAATTATTAGGATTTACTATGTTTCGTTTCATTATCACTACTTTAACATGATGTTATACGATATTAGCTAATTACTTTATAAAATAGGAATTAAAACAAGTTTTCAATGATACCTTTTTTAATAATTAAAAAACTATAATATACCACATACCAAAGTAAAATATTTTTTTTGCGCGTGCTCACGCACGCACACACGGAGGCACGTACGTACGCGCGCAGAAGCGCACGCGCACACGCGCACAGACACGTGCACACACACGCGCACACGCGCACACACACACGCACACGCGCACACACGCGCACACACACTCGCACACACGCGCACACACACTCGCACACACGTACATGCACATTTCTCAAAATCCAAATTAATTAAAATTCATAGGAAATCTAAGTTTGATAAAACACTTTGGAAATCCGCTTAGTACATTTCAAGCGATCAAGCCGTAAAAAAATTATAAGAGGTTTACACGTGAGAGCGCGCGCGACCGCACGCACACAATTTAATCTTTACGTATGCGCAATTTTATATGTATCTAAAATTGTTATGGAAGCGCGGGGTCCCCTAACACAGGTATTGATAAACTTAAAAGATGACCCCAACCTAGTTAATGTATTTAAATTTAAGATACTGAATAGGGTGTGCACTTATTCCAGCGCAAACTCTGGGGCACAACAATTGTGTCCTGTGCTAGGTGGCTAGTCTCCGTAGAGATGGGTCCTCGTGCCCGAAATCCTGTCTGAATCCTGAGAAATGTTAGTAAAACATATAATTTGCCTGAGTGGGCATGGAATGGTCATAGTGGATTTTGATGTTATAAACCCAAAATCACATATACCAGCGAACACTTTATAATATTATTTCCGATCTGTTTTGTCGGACTTGTAGTCTTTATTCTGTAAACATGCTTTTAAATTGATGATATTAATCAAAAAATAGAAATTTTTTATCATTTTAATTAGCCCTTTTTGAAAGACACATGCCAGAAATTTCATAAAACAGTATACATAATTCGGATTGCGCATATACGAATATATATGATTAGATTATGAGAGAGCGCTTTACTGATGGCGCCAAAAAGTAAAACAGAGAGTTTATAACAGTATTATCTTAAATCGAAGAATCTTTTCATACGTACAGTTGATAAGAAGTATTTTGTATGATTTCAAAACCAAAGACGTAGAGAAATATTTAAAAAATATTTTCAATAATATTTGTCTAAATTTTATACCAGACGAGCTTAACGTGTCTAACAAAATTAGCAATTACTTTTACAATGAAAGAGATGTGGGAAAAAATCAAAGCTAAGCATCTAAGTTAAGTTGTTAAGTTGATTTCTGATCTTTTTAAGATAATTCAGTCAAAAGTTTTTTTTTTTATTATTAACAATAATAAACAAATTGAATTTCAATAATAACAACGTAGTAAAATTAAAAATTAATATTTTCTATTGTTATGAGTCGAGTAATTTTGGATTTTATAGTCTATTTTTATTCACGTTTGAAATAAAATTGTCGGAAAACTATAAGTAATATTTATAAGGTTATTAGTGAAAACTTGTGTGTATTTCAAATACTTAAAAAATACCTATATCATATTGCAAGCACATTTGTATTTACCAAAAGTTTTTTATGTATTATTGATTTATTTATGTTACTACATTTAATGTATTTATTTATATTTATCTTTATCTTTTATATATTTATTCAACCCAACCAGATGAGATTTTTTTTGATATTAATTAAAATATAAATACAGAGATAATATCCTCCAGACCGAATTTCGATCACGGCTACACTTCTCAACGAAGACTAGCGCAGGACAGGATTATAGTAGTGTGTGTGTAAGCACAGGTGTACTCTATATTTTCTACATAACCGGAGAGTGATCAGGTGCAGAAATAACGCTTTAACGTGTTTTACATAGCGCAGAGGTGAGGCACCTCCAACTGATTAACTTGATTTTTACGCGACTCGTAAATCGAACCAGGGACTTTCAGATAATCAGTCGCGTTTACGACCACTAAACCCAAGAAGCAGTCAAAAAAAGATAGAAATAACGCAAGTATCCGTTCTGCTACTTAAAATCCACTTAAATGTTACTTCTACGAATCTATATGATACAGAGATGTTTCAATTTTAATGCTGCAAGAAATATGGTGATGTGCCCCTCGCCACTAAGAAACAAAGTAAGTCTTCATCGTTTCAATACTTAATATAAATTAGTTTTACTTAGGATATAAATTGTTGCACAAAATTTGAATAAATATTACAAAAAATGGGTAACCTTGAGACATTTTTTCTTCAGAAATAGTAAGTTCCTAAAATTTGTGAAATATCGAGTGTAATTGGTACGTCACACGCGCGCGCATATTATACCGGTATAACCGGGACTAAGCCATTTGCAGAGATGACTACAGGAATAATTTCGGCATATTATATTTTCTTGGAGACAGCGTAGATTACGATCAATAAAATATATTAATAATAACTGAACAAACTTACTTGCAAATATTTCAAATGACCATCGCAATGTTGTCAAACACGCAAATGTGTTTGCAAAAATAGGTTTGTATAGAATCTAAAAAAATATTTAAGAATTAAAATACAGTGATTTTAAAAATTCTACAAGAATTTTTAACCACCTATGAGAAAGAAAGGTTCTATAGTGGTATCCTCGTATCCGCTAGTGCAGTCTAAAACGACCCCCACTCCTAAACAAAACCCACTGTCAACGAGATATGACACGCAGGAAGTCAATGAATCGTGATTATGGCATTCGTGCTGCTTGGCAGGAAAAATGGGCAAAAATATAGTTTCTAATTAGATAAACTTCTAGTTAATGTGTTGCACTTTAACCCAACACATGTGTTAATAAAACTATTATTTACGGATTTTATCGCGTTTAATTACTTTAGTTTATTTTTTTATCCCGACGTATCGGGTGCTTTACAGCACCCATGGTCACGGGGGGGGGGACTGAGATGTTTGACATCTCAATGTCATAGTTAGTCCGACTACCTTTAGTTTGTGAAAGATTAATATTTTTGGTCCGATTTACGCAAAACGAGCTTATAGTATCATGAAGTCTTGCAGTGGTATGCTTGGGTTTGGGTTTAATTTTGTTAATTATAGGATCCCAAGCAGCTGGCAGCTATGCATCTTCTCTATTGAATTTTGGATGTTTTTTTTTTATTTCAATAGCCTCGCGTATCATCCCTGGTAGGAATCGGTGTTCTTTTGCGAGGATTTGTGGTTTATCAAATCGAATGTAAATCGAATGTAATGATGGGGACGATCTTGAACATGTGCGCAGACTGCAGACTTCCCAGAGCGTCGGTGCTTCACGTCAGCTATATGTTCCTTCACGCGGGTTTTTATAGATCTTTTTATCTGTCGTCTCTCTTACATAGGTTAAACAACTGAAGGAATATTCAAAAACTAAAGGTAGCCGGACTAACTATCACATTAGGACGTCAAACCCCTCAGTCCCCCCCCGTGACCATGAGTGCTGTAAAACACCCGAAACGTCAGGATGATAAAAATAAATTTAAGTAATTAAACGCGATAAAGTCTGTAAAAATACTTTTATTCATTGTGTAGTGTTCGCGTAAATTTAAGAAATCATTAACACATGTGTTATTTAGATTTATATCATGGCAACAGTTCAATGCTCAGTACTATATTTAGAACGGATTTCAAGATTCTGTTAAGGATATTCAAATTTATCTAAAAGATCAGGATTTTAACATTGATTGTTTAAAATTTTTTGAAAATTAAGCTTCTAGGTTAAAATATTCGGATAATTGTTTTTAGCGAATAAAAATTTAATTTAATTTAATATTTAATGACTATTAAATATTTAAATAGGATGGATATTTCACTTTTGTCCAATGAAATAAACTCATTTTTCAAATTAATCTTTGAGATAAATATATAGTAAGTTAATAAAAATAATTTACCTGATAGGCAAATATATAATTAAAATACCGTTCATCATTAACGTCGAAAAAAATAATATCCATTTTTAGTGGAAGATATTGAAATCCATAAAGACCTGGTACCACTAGCACGTGCACTGAAAATAAAAAAAAAAACAAATATTTAATCATTTACATTTTTGCATAGCAAGAGGTTGTGAGAAAAAGAAAAATTTGTTATGATGATGCGAAATAATAACATGTGAAAATTAAAATGGTCTACAGTCATTCCCAGGATGACGCCCATTTACCCGAAGTAATATTTAGGCTAACATTAACCGTGATCATAATTTTTAACAGTAATTTTGAGAAACATTTACATTTACCTTTTTTATTACTTTTTATTTACCATACTACACTTTTTACTTCTTATTTTCTTTACCTTATTTACACATAGCAAAAATGATGCTCAAAATATCCGAAAATGTTGTAATCTACATTTGACGTTGTTGCAACTGTTAACGGTGTGGCGTTATATATTATAATAAGAATAAATTAAACTCACATAATTAAGTATCTGATTCCAATATAATATTTAAACTCTTAAATCGTTATTAGGTATTTTATACGTGGTAGAGCCATACTGCAGTTATATTAGTAGTATAGTTGTAGCACGAATGGGTCGGCTCGACCGGAGAAGGACCACGCTCTCACAGAATACCAGCATACAATAGTAGCTTAGTGCTGCCGTGTTTCGTATGGTAAGTGTAGAGAACCGGAGACCCTTTTTACTGGAAAAGAGGCGTTTCATTTTAGTCCTCACTACCTGCATTTTGATTTGCAATCGAGGATAGATGTAGATATCTATGGGCCGATGCTGCTGCTGTTTGCTGTGTGCTCCTTTGTCACCCTATTCTATAAAAAAATGGGTCTTTACCTTTGAAACTGCCGTTTTCTATGAAATAAATAACCATATTTTTTCTATATTTTTAATATCTATCAATCAAAGTAATGACCCATGCAATTGATGCATATTTAACAACGCGGTAGCAGTTTATTGATGCCCTTCTTGAATATATAAGCTGGACGTGAGGCAACAAATTTTCGAAGAAATTTTGTACTGCCTCTCAGGTATTGAATATTTTCATCCCGTTTGGTAAGACGCTGTGATGAATCACACCGGTGCTTAGCAACTGAACAGTGATCATCAATTTCTAGGGGTAATTTTATTAAGGGCATTGTTTAGGTGCTTAAACAGGATCCAAACAACTTACTGAGAACTTTCAATTGTCAAACATAATCCATTTTTCGTCGCAGGTAAAAATGCGGTTCAGAATACCTTCGTTTGCCTGCCTGTTGAACAGTGACACGTGTCGATGAGTACTTTGTCATGGCTATCTTTGAGTTCATGAGACACCCATATGTCAAGCTATTTTACCCTGGCAATTTGACGCAAATTGAGCAATATCGTTTTGACGTTAACGTCAAAAGCTGTCGTTAATTCAGCCGTGGATTGAGTTTCGTTAGCTTCCACATTCGCTTTAAATTCGTCATTGTCGAACAAAGTTTTGTACAACCACAGGGTTCATATTTTTGGTCGAAATTTCCAGAATAGAAGTGGGAAGAACAATAAACGGTGGTGCGTTCCTTTGTAGTATTTGCTCCGTAAACGTCATTGATGTTGCATGCCGTTTGTGCTGCGTTGCTGCCACGACAGTACTCGTATACTTTAATTACTCGAATTTTTAATATATCCATGATAACGTAAAAGATTCAAATGCAATGAAAACATAACGCTAATCAATAAATACGTAACGAATTAAAAAAAAATAATAATGCCATGTTTTTAAAATAAAATTAATTTGAAATTGAATTATTTTGATTTAAAATTATCAGTACTGCGGAACGGCAATTTCATAAGTAAAGACCTATTATTTTATATTCTTGCAAAATACACATTTTTTGTTTTTTTACCAGTTATATCCACTGCTGTAAATCCCAATATAAAAATGAATAAGCATCTGGACATATTTATCTTCGTCTTTATCGATTCCTTAAAATCTTTATTAAAATCACAAAACTCCATATTTGTCATCTGGTCTATTAGGTTCTTTATATAATTTCGGCGTATAACAAAATCCACAAGTTTGATTGTGGTTAGTAGTTCAGTTACTATTAAATTTAACCTGCAACAGTCAAACATCGAAAAATGGTTAGTATGTAATGATGATAAAGGTGTAAAATGTATTTTTTTTTGTGATAATAAAAAAATAAACTGTGTGAAATTAGATCAGAATAATTAGAGAAAGACGATAGAGTATCCATTGCTTCTAGAGACGGCTATGGGTTATGATAAAAAGATGTTACTCAATCTATTTCTTATAATAGCGGGATAACCACGGAACAGTGAGACTTTATTTACATAAAAATATTGAACATTCACGGAAACTATATGACATATAAATAGACCCAGCACTAAGTACTTACGTTCCAGCTATTACTTGAACTTCTGCATTCCCAGAAAAAGCAAGACGTATAAGATACATCAACTGTGCTCCTGTAGGTATAATAAAGATAAAAATTCCAATGAAAGTCTTAATAATTATAGCTTTTAAAAAATTTAACGATTTCACTGGATGTGGTATGAAGACCCAGGTTCCCATTAATTTAAGAGTGTCAATTTGCCACGAAATAAATTGATATAAGTCAACACCAGGTGCATTAGTCATTGTGATTGATTAAAATACGTAGTGTGATAATTTTATTAATGGTTATTATATATATTTTTTAATTTAATTAACACAGTAAGAGAGAATTATTTGGTTTATAGTGTTTAACGTATTTTAATTCGGTCAGTCCAATTTTTCATAACGTGTATTTGCTAGTCTGCAACCAAAATTTAATATGTATTATACACATATATTCATAGACAATAATTATTTGAACAATTATTATAAATTTGCCTTAATTACTCCCTAGTGGAATTGCTGCCATTAACTTAATTACGACATATATATGCCATAAAATTATTTAATTTGAACACTTGATTCGAGGAATAGTTTAATATAAAATTTAATAGACAAAAATAAAAGGACTATAAGGTTTACTGCCAACAAAAAAAAACAAAACAATAAAAGAGGATTAAAAATATTTCAGCAAACGCCTTATATATGATGCTTATTAGGTATTCGTTTGATAGATAAAAATTTTAACGCTCAGGCGTTCAGTGATAATTTTAATTGGAATATATTCACCACCAATTATCAATGAACATATTGATCAACTTTAACATGTCTCTAAGTTTTGAGTTTTTATTAATTTAAGTAGCCAGTGTTAAAACTTTACAGGAGTAGAAGCATTAGTTAAATTAAGTATTTAGTTTCTTCTATATAAATAAATATCGAGTATTATTATTTATGTTATGTAGTTCTGTTGACCCCTATTAAATGTGTTGCATTCTGTGTATTATGAGTTATCAAAACACTTTTGGGCCAAGTTAACTTCGACTATATTATATAAATTAAGTACCAATGAACTCAAAACAACAAAAGAAACTTCAGTTGCCAACCCACATGGAAAGAGTAACAACTATGGCAAAATCCCTTCTATGAGACAATATATAGGGCAGGCCTATGTTCAGCAGTGGCATTTTATAGGCAGAAGTTAAAAGGAAGTACAAAGCAATAAGTATGTAGTAAATTTCCAAAACTAATAAGAACTATTTTAGATTGAACTAATAGAGAACGGGACCGGGGCAACATTTAGTTCTCATTGCACTCCTACTTCTTTTGTAGAAGCTTTTGAATTAGAGCCACACATATGTCAATTATTAATAATAAGTTATATATATATTTGCCAGAAATCTTTTAAAAATTATAAGCATATATATATATATATATAATATGCTTATTAGTGCATGTAAGTAGGGTGGTGTTACTATATAGTTACAGAGTGACAGTAAATTTTCAAGATTTTCATTCTCATCTCTAATGATAGCAAGTACTTAGTTGTTATTGATTTTAAAGAATATTGATTTAGTTTGTCAACTTTAAAAAATCATATGGTCTACGAGCAAGTACACTTCCAACAAGAGGTTATGGGGCTCGGTATCGGCGTTGAATAACATTGGGTTGTGACGGTGGAATTGAGCGATGATATCTCCTTATAATTTGTCTAATAAATACTTACAGCATTTTTCTTTGGGCTCTTTCAACAATTATTATTTGAAATTAAGCAGCCTCACCCCATTAACAAAACGAACAAAATTACTTGTTCGTATATATTAGCATAAGCATAAACACTCACGCCTGTCACCCAGAGGGGTAGGCAGAGACCACGGACTTCCATTTGACACGATCCTGACATACCTCTTTCGCCTCCTTTACATCCATATATCTACGCATACATGCTCGTCGGTTAAGGGTACTTCTAACGTGGCCCATTTTCAAAATATCGCCAATTTGGTCGATAAACTTTTTTCTAGGGCGTCCCTTCCCGACTCTGCCGTTCACATCTGCCATATAAATTTGTTTTGTCACTCTTCCTCTCATTCTTTCTACATGACCAAACCACCGAAGCATTCCTTTCTTAATCCTGGTCACAACATCATCTTGCATACCACATTTATCTCTTATCATGCAATTTCTCATCCTGTCATTCAGATTCAACCCTAGCATACTCCTTAAAGACCGCATTTCTACAGCATTTATTCTACTTTCGTGCTTCTTCTGCCACACCCAGCTTTCACTACCATACATTAAAGTAGGGACTAACACAGCATTATGAATTACCATACGTGCCTTTTTTGATACATTCTGGTTCTTCACAATAGAGTGTAGTGCCCCATTCACTCTATTCCCTGCATTTACTCGTCGTTCTATATCCTTATCATATCTACCATCCCTGCTAAATACACATCCCAAATACACAAACTCATCCACTTGCTCAATTAACTCTCCTTCCATTCTTATTTCACATACCGTTTTGCTTTCCTCTATTTCAAAAACCATCACTTTCATCTTACTTGCGTTTACTTTCATTCCCAGTTATTTGTAAGTTATTTGCAACGTCATAATGAGATAATTAAAAGAAATTTACAAACAGGA